GAAGACTATGCCCTCAGGACTGTGGATGTGGAGAGCGTTTCTTACTTCATGAACAAGATTCGTCGCTCTGCGAATGTCATCAGGATGAAGATCGGCGGAAATAAGAGACATAAAATGCAACACCCAAAATTATTTATAGAATTTTGATGAAAAGTTGTAAACATACAGGGTTGTCCAATAGGGACGCAGGAAAGTAAACGACAATGTGACATAGACGCCATCTTTGTTTTCTGTCACCGACATGTCATTTTGTTAGTTGAATGTTTACCATTGATCGCTATGGAGTCGTATTCGATTGAAGACCGCATTAAAGTTATTCAAGAGCACTACAAAAATGTTGCAAAAATAAAAAACACGTTTCGCGCGCTTCGTGAACATTTCGGTCGCAACAACCGCCCAAACGAAACAATCATCGGTCGTCTGGTGCGTAAATTCGAGGCAACAGGTTCTGTGGCAAATCTGCCAGGCTCTGGCCAGCCAAGGAGCGTTCGCACACCGGAAAATATAGCTGTTGTGAAGGAGAGTGTGAGAGACGATCCGAAACAATCAACAACGCGTCGATCCCAAGAATTGGGCATTTCGAGAACCAGTACAACATCCAATTGACGCAAGAGCTGCGTCGGGCCGACCATTTTTCGCGCCGAACGTTCTCAGATTGGCTTCTTGAACACCGCCAAATTGATGCCAATTTTTCATCAAAAATCATGTTCATCGACGAAGCGCATTTCACTTTGAATGGGACGGTAAACAAGCAAAACTGCCGCATCTGGGCGAACGAAAATCCCCGTGAGTATCAAGAGTAGCCGATGCAACCTCAAAAAGTGACTGTGTGGTCAAAAGGCATCATCGGAACTTACTTTTTCGAAAATGCGGCCGGGGACGCCGTTACCGTCAATTCTGAGCGATATCACGTGATGATAGAGGACTGTTTTTTGCCGCAACTTGAAGGAATGGATATGGACGATGTTTATTTCCAACAAGACGGTACAACATGCCACACAACCAACGTCAATATCCATCGATTGCAGTCCTTCTTCGGTGATCGCGTGATTTCGCGCAGAGGAAATGTGCCATGGCCACCAAGATCGCGCGATTTGACTCCCTTGGACTTCTTTTTATGGGGATATTTGAAAAGCAAAGTCCACGTCAACAAACCAGTCACCCTCCAAGAACTCAAAAACAACATCACTGCCGAGATAAATGCCATAGAACCGACCATGTTGCAAAATGTCATTGAAAATTTCGACCATCGCGTGGACGTCTGTAAATCCAGTCGTGGTGAACATTTGAGCGATATTATTTTTCATACATAAATGGTATAAATGAACCCAAAAGTACCCAACTTGATTTGAATATCAATCTTTCTTGTTTTAATATGCGTTTACTTTCCTGCGTCCGATTTGAACAACCCCATATTTCGTATCATGGAAGTATGCGCTGATAAAATGTTGAAGGCATTCTGAGCCGTACTGTTTTTGTCATCATATCAGGTTCCATTTGTTTTCATTGTTGTTTCATTGCATTATCATGTCTACAGTTTTCAGACGCGCTTATGTCACTCAACTTTTGAGTTTAAGAGTGGTCGGATAATCGGGTCACTTTCTTTTAGATAAATCGCTAATCGGGTGAATCGAAACGAAGCTACTGTAATAAGACGTTGTCGAGAGTGGTTCCAAGAAGGCGAAATCGACGAGTTGGAGGTACTGGACAGGGTAACACGATCGTTATTTGAGGCAAATAGCACACGAACCAGTGGTTTGATGCTGCCGGGAGTGCAATAATAATGAGGACAGTTTATCGCCGAATAAGGTTTTTTGGACTGTCTTCATACCGTCCCCATCTTGCACTATCTCCGACCCCAAAGCATCATCGGCAACGATTGGTATGGAGTAGGGAGAGACTTGAATGGAATAGGGAATGGAACTCAGTCGTGTTCAGCGATGAGTCCAGATTCTGTTTGGGCACACATGGTGCCCAAACAAGAGTAACGAGGAGACGTGGTGAAAAACGGAAAGTCCAATATTCCATCGAACGTCATATTCATCGCCCTGTGGGTGTTGCAAGATCCACTTTTTCAGCAGGACAATGCACGACCTCATGCGACTTGGCATGAGTTAAAAAGTCGTAACTTCCTTATTATTACAGATAGATGGATGCTTCTCGAATCTTGTATGATATCTCTCGTGACCATCTACCTGTTGTCCTGGACGTGGGCGATGAGCAAACTTCTGAGGAGGAAGCTCGTCCAAGGAAACGCATTGATTGGGAGCTATAAAGTTGCTCCTTAGAGAGCTTCCCAATATCCCGATTATAGATGATGAGTCTGGAATAGATGCCGCTCAAGCGGAGTGGACAAGTTTCATTCAAGCAACTCTACAGCGTGCAGCTGTACTTCCTGTACAACGACACGGCAGACCTTTTTTGCCTGCGGACATTCGTCAGAAAATCTCTGACAAAATAGCCGCTATTAAGCAGGCAAAAAGGTCTTGTCATCGTGATGACATTCGTAGGGCTACAAATCTTGTACATGAAGTGAGAAACGCACTGCACGAACTCCGCAACGAGCAATGGAGCGACTTTCCGGCGGGAATGCTTGATTCAAGTATTCCTCTCTGGAGGGTCGCAAAGTCACTCAGAAACGGAAAGCGAGAAAAACTCCCGCACATCCACGGTCCTGAAGGCATAGTCTTCAGAACGGATGATAAGGTCGAGGTGTTCGCTGATGCCATGGAAAGACAGTTCTCTCCCAACTATGATCTTGATAATGAGCTCGACGAGGAATAGGACACCGTACGATCCGTCAGGAGATATTTTAGGGCCAACGGCGTTAACGGAGGCACTTAATCCTCTTCAGATGACTCTTCTTCCGAAGATAGCACATTAGCGGAACCCTCCGAAGTTCCACATTGCACACCAGCGGAGCTCCTAAGTCATATTAAAGACCTCAAGGTACGTAAGGCACCTGGGGAGGATCAAACCACCAACAAGGCGTTGAAGCTGCTCTCGCCGAAAGCCCTGACATATTCGGTGACAATAATCACTGCAACGCTCAGAATCCAGTACTTTCCTGCTGGGTGGAAGACCGCTGAGGTCATCATGATTCCAAAGAAGGTGGGTTCGATATTTCCTCAGGATTACCGTCCCATAAGTCTGCTGTCAGCTCCTTCTAAGCTCGCCGAAAAGGAGATTTATCGTCACCTTGAGAATTTGTCGTCAAATCACCATGTGATTCCTGACGTTCAATTCGGTTTTCGGTCCGAGCATAGCACCGAGCTACAGGCAGTCAGGCTGGTGGAACATGTAACCAGAGGGTTCACCCTCAGCATGAGTACTGGCATCTTGCTTTTGGATGTCTCAAAAGCCTTTGGCAAGGTGTGGCACGCGGGTCTCTTTTATAAACTAATCAAAAAGGGGTTTCAATTTGGCTTTAAAAATTACTGAAATCCTTTCTTGAAGAAAGGAAGTTTCAGATCAAAATTAACAATGTTTTGTCAACAACACGGCCAGTACGGGCCGGTGTTCCTCAGGGTTCGGTCCTATGACCAATCCTTTATTCGCTTTTTAAACATGATGTCCCTTGCCCCAGCAACTGTGAAGTCTACCTCTATGCTGACGACACTGCACTTGTCGCACAGTCGTGTAATGATGATCTGGTTCACGAGGGGTTGCAGAGTACGGTGGAGGAAGTACTAGAGTGGTAGGAACGGTGGCTGATTAAAATTAATCATTCGAAAACGCAGGGTATTTATTGTACCAAAAAACGTCGCGGCCCCCCAGCAGAGGTCTCTGTAGACGGCAATCGTGTATCATGGACAAATTCTGCCAAGTACTTCGGTGTCACCCTTGATACAGGCATGACCTGGCATAAACATACAGCAGCCTTGAAAACAAAATTCCAAATTGTGTTTCGGCAACTACGAGTACAGCCTTTGTTACGTAGATCTTCCAAATTGAATTTGATAAACAAATTTCGCCAATATAAAATGATTATTAGACCAGCCATTACTTATGAATGTGCGGCTTGGTGTTTTCTTGCCAAGACACATATGCAAAGTCTTCAAGTACTGCAAAGTAGAACTTTGCGAACACTTTGCAACGCTCCATGATAAATGTCTCAAACGAGACACTACACAGAGAACTTAACATTCCTCGGCTCGCACTGTAATAAAAAATTAGCGCGAACTTTTAGTACAGTTAAAATTACACTATAACAAAATTGAATCAAAAATTTGTTTATTTCACCTCAAAATTAATCCGTGTACCAAGTCAAAAAGCCTAGGTGTCTCCTCTTAAACTAAACACATCTATTTTTCTTTGCTCTTCTCCATTTTTCTTCTCTTTCTCTTTGCTCTTTTTCCTTAACATTGTCTGGTTTCTGGGCAACCAACCAGTACTGACAGATTCGACTAACGTACATCAGACAGTGACTAATGGGCAAAGGTCCTACGGACCGCCCAGACAAACAAATGACGAATAGTAGATGGATGCTGCGAGTAGCAAATAAAAATTCACAATATCATCATTAGCTTAACATATTGGACTCATCTTTGACAAAAACGGACTTAACCTAGTCGGCCTCTGGGGTACAGATATGTGAAAAACAAATGATGCAACGGAATTAGTATATTATTTCATGTATAGGCATATTAAGAAAGTTAAAAGATTACATCAAAGTTCAAAATGTAAAAAAGATAATGCTACAGGGTTAGTTTAGATTTCACATTGATCCACTCCACAGGGTGCCTCCAGTTTATGAAAAAGCACCCTCAATACGATGAACTATCATATATGACCTTTTGTTTTTTACCACTGTGCTTGATTTATTTTTTGTCACTTTTATTTAATTGTACTTGTAAATGGGGGTAACTGTTGGACAATAAAGTTATTATTACTAATACGAAAAAAAAATCTGTGAAAAATATTTTTGTGATGTCTTAATATTTTAGAGAAATGTAGTTAATATTGGCATTCTTGGGAGAAATGATTAACATGTTTTTTTTTGTTTCAGATAATAATGAACTTACCATCATCTCTAAGAAGAAACCTGTCAATCACAGTCATGCGCTCCTACTGTCACAATAAACTCATTTTGATAAAAATGATTTTGCGGCTATGACTCCTCAAGTCACAACATATTAAACACGTCAATAATATTTAATTTACTAATTTATTCTAGTCTAAAATTACTACTTTTGTAGTTGCATTAACTAGTTGTAAGTTACCTTGTGGTGCCAAAATCGAAAAATCCTAGTCTATTTTGACCTAACAAAATGGCAGTAATAGCTTTGCCGGCCATATTAGCAGCTGTTAAGGGTGGCGTTGGACTGATTGGTGCAGGGAAAATCGCCATCTTGCCATTCCTCATAGCCGCGATGACGTATTTCCATTACGACCAATTTGATCCCGAGAACAAACCAGTTGATCGAGACGAGGTAAGCCATTATGAATATTTTCACTGAAGAACTTTTGAGGTATACATCATAATATGTCAGGAAAGTAGATGCTGGACAGGCAAACAGCGAGGAAGTTTTATTATTTGATTTATACAGGGTGACTTGTAATGTCACGTATTCCTGTTAAGGGGTGATAGATTAGGTCAAAAGCAACCGATTTTGTCCTATCATGTCTTATCCAAAAGTTAACCATTTTTGGGTTATTCGAATTTTAAGTTGTTTTATTCCGATTTCAGACGGTTAAAATTGAAATACGAAAAACTGCATGCTTGATTTTGAGTTTTTTGTTATCGTCGCATAGCAGACATTCCAATAGTTCATAATAAGTAATAAAATGTTGAAAAGTTACAAACGTTTTAAAATTACGCTTGTTAAATGTATCATTTTCGTTTTTTTTACCAACTTATTCGATCAAAAATGCAATTTTCTGTAAAAAATCTCCTAGTAACGAAATGTGCAAATTATGTAGATAATATCTCTATCTAACAAGCTTTCATTTGAGGTATTAAGCGTTCAATTATCTGAAGTACATGCAGAGAAATAACAATGCCACCCACATAGGCTGGATTTTTAAGTAATTAAAGCATCCCACAAACCGGCGCGAAATATTCGCTTTGGCTACGAAAATTTCGCGGCGATGAATTCGCGATCAGATTAAAACGCGGCGGTTTACGGACAAGCTCAGACTTGTGCGAAGCGAATGCGATTGTTCCAGCGTTTTTATCGCGGCGTATTTCAGTTCGCCTTTGACCGCATTTTTGACGCCGTTCTTCAAAAATTCGCAATGGCAAAAACGGAATTATTGATAGAAATAGTGAAAAAGTATCCTTGTTTGTATGATTTGTCGAACGATGAATACAGGAATGTGAGAAAGAAAGACAAGATTTGGATGGAAATAGGAAAAGAATTAAATAAAAATGGTATGTACCTAATATTTTTTATTAACTTGTTAAATAATATACAGTCTACACAAATGTGAAAACGAACATTCTATATATTGGGCATAGGCATATCAGAATTAAAATAATTTACGAATTTGTCACGAGTAGAAAATGCTAGCCTTGCTGCCCGCCGAGGATCATTTGCTATATCAGTAAAAGCCCCAAGCACGGGTTCTGGGCGATCTAAGAATTGAAAATATTTGTCATCGCCACTTTTACTTCGTAAAAAATTGTGTAAAACACATGCCATACGTACAATTAGAATAGTAGTATCTACTTTAGTTTCTAATGGCCTGTAAAATATTCGCCATTTTTGAGACAAAATACCAAACGCATTTTCCACGACCCTTCTAGCTCGACAAAGTCTTACATTGTATTTCTCTTTTCTGACGTCTGTTAAAGTCTGCTTATAAGGAAATGGTCTCCTAAGGTATGGTTTTAAAGCAAATGCTTCATCACCAATTAAGACGTACGAGCAGATTTCATTTTGCCCAGGGAGAAATCTAGGTGCAGGGACACTCATTAAATTTTGTTCAAATCGTTTTCCCATGTTTGAGGTTTCGAAAATACCCTCGTCACTATTTTTTCCGAAACTACCAATATCAACACATATAAATTTATAGTCCGGGCCAACAATGGTCATAAGTACTATTGAATATTTATGTAAATAGCACCAGTAATTGGAGCCACTGTCTCTTGATTGTTACATGTTTACCGTTCACGCTGCCAATGCAATTGGCAATTATTTTCAAATTCTTCAGCACATTTTTTCCATATATTCTCTGTTGGTTCTGGTAAATATATATGCTCCATATGTCTGCATATCGCTTCACAGACTTCGGTTACGATTGCACTCACTGTTGTAAAGCCAACTCGAAAGCTATGCCCAATGGTATAGAAGGTGTCACCAGTGGCAAGGAATCTATAAAAAAATCGTTTTTAGGTGATGAAGTAAAAAAAGGTGGAAGAATATCAGACACACATTTGCAAAATATATAAAATCTACCAAACCAAAGACCGGCCAAGCAGTGGGCAACATAAAAAAATGGCAGTGGGCTGACTACATGGAATTTTTCCGTCCTTTTTTGGCATTTGCCAAAACATCGTCTAATGTGAAAGATATTGACGTCATACATTATGAGACTGCCGAATTTAACTCAAATATATATCAGGAAAGGGCTGGAAATGTAGAAACCGAAAATTTGGAAGACCGCGGCCATGGAGAAGATGAAAATGCTGATGTAGATGCAGAAGATGCACAGAACGCCTCGGCAACACAGACAGCACCACCTTCTTCATTGAACACTACAGCAGTGACTACTCCAGGGCACACCTTTCCGCAGACTGCAACTACACCAAAATATAAAACGTGCAGAAAACGCTATGAACCACCATCTTCGTCTGTACAACAGCTCCTTAATTATTTTGAAGGTAAAAAACCTAAAAAAGAGAACGAGGCCATTGATTCACTTTTCTTGGCACATGCACAGACTGTGAAAACACTTCCCTTAAAGCGTCAAGCCCGAATAAAACTAAAAATAGCCGAATTAATAGCGCACGAAGAATTTGAACATATTGAAGAAATGTCTTCAGCGTCTACCCAGAATTCTGCAAGTATGTATGATAGTAGTATGTCGTCCTTCCCAAGCGGCACTGGGTTTACTCCAATAATATACCCAACAGAGGAGGCAAATTCTGCCTCGAATTATTTAGCAACATTTAATCCTAGTAGCAACATGTAGTCCAATTATTACAATAAAATATTTATTTCACGATCCCTGAAGTTTTCGTATTCGATAAGCCTACTAATTTTAATACATATAATTTTTCAACCTGAGTGTAATAGCAAGTCGTTCTTCTGGCGAAATAGCTTCACGATAATTTGTGTCAGATTTTCGTATTTCATCTTTCACCAAGTTCAATATTTCATCGAAACAGTCTGGAGTCATTCTAAAATATACGTAAAAGCGCTGTTCATCCAACCGAAGTTGTGGCATCAAGGTATGGTATTCCCCAAATTTATTTCGTTCCAAGTTAATATCATGTACCCACTTCCTTCGTTTCCTAAACAAAATTGAAAATATTTGTTTTATGTACTTCGTTAAACTTAATACATACCCAACTATCAAATGACGTTAAATAAACATAACTTACCGTGCATTTTGTTCCTCTTCTAAAGCAAGACATAGAAGTGCCTCCTCTTCTTCTGAAGACGAGCTCATTGCAAAAGGCAAACATAAAATGTACGCAACCTGTCGAAACCTTCACGTTCGCGGAGCGAATAAGACGCTTTGGTATGAATAAACAGGCGAAACAGATTGCGAATTTCGCTCTGAATTTCGTTGCGAATACTTCGCCGCGATTATTTCGCGCCGGTTTGTGGGATGCTTTATATTACCTGTTTGAACAAGTCGTTACTGTCCTCAAAGGACTCGCATGCCATGATTATTTTATGGCATCGGCTCGACGAGGAAGCTTGCGAGAAAAGCTGACTTAGTGGAGGAGTGAGAATTAGGTTTAGTTGGTATCAACTACTGCGTACGCGCACACGTTTAACGCACGATTATTATTTTCGAGTTTCCCAGTTCATTTCGAGTGGTTTCTTTATCATCATGGCAGACGCAGAAGATCCGCCAGGACCTCGCCATAGCGAGCACGGGCAAACTTTTACAAATGAAGAATACGCAGACATAATGTTCTGTTATGGACTTTGTAACGGCGATTCTGCAGCTGCCCGCCGTGAATATCGGCAACGTTTTCCGAATCGCCGAACACCTCATGTTACTGTGTTTGACTCTGTGTATCGGCGCATCCGCCAACCCGGACGTGTTCAAAGGCAACATAGTGATGCTGGTCGACCCCGAGTCTATCCTCCTGAAGATGAAGAGGAAATCCTTCGTGTGTTTCAGGAAGACCCTACTACGTCTACGCGCATTGTGGCTGCCCAGTTGGGTATATCACAATACAAAGTATGGTTTACTGTGCATACTGCAAGATTATACCCTTATCACTACACGCCTGTGCATGTGATTGAAGAGGGCGATCCTGCAAGACGATTAGATTTCTGCAGGTAGATGTTACATGCAGATTCAGAAGATCCAGACTATTTTAAGAAAATTCTGTGGACCGATGAATCGAAGTTTGATCAGTACGGGATCACTAACTACCATAATGCTCATTGATGGATATTTAATTGGACCTCATTTTCTGCCCGCCAATTTAAATGGAGTGTATGAAGAGTTCTTGAAAAATCACTTGTTTCCATTAATGGAAGACGTCCCATTGGCGACGAGACAAAATATGCGGTTCCAGCACGACGGCTGTCCCGCACACTACATTATACGGGCGTATTTCCAAATCAATGGATTGGCAGAGGCGGGCCCATCGCCTGGCCAGCAAGAAGCCCAGATCTCACACCGATGGATTATTATGTGTGGGGACATATGAAAAGCCTGGTGTACGATGCTTCGCCCGTACCAACGCGCAATGAATTAATTACAAGGATAATCAGTGCAGCTGACCAAATAGAAAGCCGCTTAACAACAAGGGTCACCAAAATTGAATTACGTAAGAAAATGCGGGCGTGTATTCGTAATAGGGGATTACAATTTGAGCAGGATATGTAAAATACTAAAGGAAATGTAATTAAATAAAACTGTACTTTAAAATAAAAGCCTTTTATTTATCCTACATAATTATCGTTCGTACAACTTTACTCATCTTTTTTTAATTTTATGTCTTTGTACTTGAGTTAGTTGTAACTTTTATACCTCAAATGAAAGCTTGTTAGATAGATATATTATTTACATAATTTGCACATTTCATTACTAGGAGATTTTTTACAGAAAATTGCATTTTTTATCGAATAAGTTAGTAAAAAAATAAGAAAATCATAAATTTCAAAAGCGTAATTTTAAAAATTTTGTAAGTTTTCAACATTTTATTACTTATTATGAACTATTGAAATGTCCGCTATGCGACGATAACAAAAAACTCAAAATCAAACATGTAGTTTTTTTGTATTTCAAATTTAACCGTCTGAAATCGGAATAAAAAATAAAAAAATAAAATTCAAATAACTCAAAAACGGTTAACTTCTGGATAGGACATCATAGGACAAAATCGGTTGCTTTTGCAAAATATCTCCGACATTCGTTAAATATTGTAGTTAATGAATAAGCAAAAAATCATAACCTCCAACTAAATCCTTCAAAATCAAAGTAAACGAAATGTTAAAAACTTCAATCTTAGTTTAGATGGTGCTACTATCGACGTTAATCAAGCAGTCAAAAACTTGGGAATTCTTTTTGACGAGAGCCTCACGAGCAAACAAAGTTACAAAAAACTTTCTCTCATGTCAGTTGTATCTGAATATAAAATAAAAGAACCTGATGCGAATGTTTAAAATTACCTACTTTTTGGTCGGAAGGACGAAAGCATCATTTATAATTTTTATTTTATTTATTTATAATAATCCATACACTGCCTGAACAGAGCGATCCAATTAACAGGCAGGGAAAAAACAAAAAATGATTCAAAAACAAATCTCTAAACAGTACATGATAAAAAAGACATAAATTTAAATTATCCAATTGTTAAAAAACGCCTCTTGAGATCGATTTTGGTGGAACTAAAAATATCAAGTTCACTTACACTGTCACAAACTCTAAACATAACATAAAGAGGCGAAAATAATAATAAATTTGTCTGCGGAACAGGTAAATAAAATCAATTGTTACCACCATGACGAGTACGCAAATCGGGAACGCGTAGAGAGATCCTGTCTAGAAGAAAAGAGCAATCAATTGTTACATTCAACAAATTACATAAAAATTTGCCTGCTAACAGATTCATACGTTTGACTAAATTATGTAAATTATATCTACTTAAGAGAATGTCGCGTATACCCCTTTCAGGGTACGCTCTATCATCTTTGAACCATAAGTATTTCACAAAACGACGTTGGATTCTCTGGATGTTTTTACAGTGTATATCATAGGCCGGGTACCAGATAATCGAACAGTATTCTAAAACAGATCTAGATCTAGATTAAAAAGTTAAATTAATGTATACTAAGTGACATATAAATCCGAACACCCAGTTTAAATGGTTTTATTTTAATAAAACTTTGTATAAGTACTTAATGAAGCATAATAAGTAAATGATAAAAATTTCAAAATGATTGCACTGCTTTAAAGCCCTTTGACCTTTAATAATGTGTGGATGCACCGTGATGTGCTACGCATTCTCCAACGCGCCTAGGCATGCTTCTGATCAGGTGGTCAATGTCCTCCTGTGGTATCTCATTCCAGGCAATCACCAACTCCTCTCGAAGTGCTTCTAGAGTCTGAGGAGGACGTTGCAAATTGAGCAATCTCCTACCCATCATATCCCACACGTGCTCAATTGGGGATAAGTCGGAAGATCTTGGTGGCCATGGTAACAATGTGACATCATTATGTTAAAATAAGTCTATTGTGACTCTTGCAACATGTGGTTGGGCATTATCTTGTTGGAAAGTTGGATCTGCCAGGGTGTCAAGATAGGGTAAAAGATGGGGTTCTAGAACTTCGTGGATATAACGCTGCGCGTTCATGTTACCTCCGATGAAGATTAAAGGTGACCTGGAACCATAAGCTATAGCACCCCAAACCATAACTCCAACAGTGTGATGAACATGTCTTTCAACAAAAAACTGTGGATTCCTCCTTTCACCACGTCGCCTTCTAACCCTGGCACGACCGTCGTGCATGCCTAAACAAAATCGAGACTCGTCACTAAAGACAATACAGTTCCATTCCTGATCCCAGAGTGACGGTTGTCTGCACCACTCAAGGCGATTACGTCGGTGTTCTCGAGTTAAAGGGAGGACCCAGTGTGGCCGGTATGAAAACAAGCCAAAACTTCTCATTCCTCGGTAAGCATTTCGCATGCCAATAGGTCTTCCGTGTTCTGCAAACCATTCATTTGCAATGGACATGGTAGTGGAGAAACGGTCCCTTAAGGCCAATAATCTTAGGCGGCGATCTTCACGGTCTGTTGTTCTACGGCGGCGTCCAGTGCCCCTTGCTCTTTCCGTACGGCCTTCTCGAAGCCATGCCTGACAACACCTAATTACAGTGCACTCTAACTGCAATTGCCCGAAAAGAAAGTCCACCTTCCCGAAGTCCCACTATACGGCCCCTATCAAACTCTCTTAGTTGACGAAATCGTATAGGTCTCCGTACTCTAGGCATCGTAACCGATCGCAGAGGATGTCAAGAACCAAAATCCGCCAACGTTGATTCTTTACTGCGGCTGAAATACATATTCATTTTTAGAGCGTTAGTGAATTAAAAAAAGGCAGTATAAAAACCGGAATGTCCAACTGATAAGGCTGAAAAATGTTTCACTTGTTATTTACAGTAAGATAAATACATTCACCAATTTTTATTAAAATAAAACCATTTAAACTGGGTGTTCGGATTTATATGTCACTTAGTATATTAGTATTATTGAAATGTCTACTGTTTCTTATAACAAAACCAAGATTTTTAAAGGCTTTTTTGCTATTATTGCATTAATGTGATCAATAAAAGAAATACGCCCAAATCCTTGACGATATTAACACGACAAAGAACATTGCTACCGATTTCAAAATTGTCGGTTCCACCCTGCGTGTAAACGTCATAGTAGTACATTTATTGACATTCAAGTGCATGTTATTTACCTTACACCAGCGATCAATGACATTCAAATCAGCCTGTAACCTTAAACTGTCTTCTAAGCAACACACGCTATTAAAAATTTGAGGTCATCGGCACATACTCACAACGCAAGTCTGTTGATAAAAATTAAAAATAATAGAGGACCCAGAACAGAACCTTGGGGCACCCCTGATGTAGCTAAAACCGCACCAGACTTATGTCCAGTTTACTACTTTCTTCTAGGTGGACGCCTGGTACGACTTTGTAATCGTGGGAGGAGGCTCAGCCGGATCTGTGTTAGCAAATAGACTGTCAGAGATATCTAGCTGGAAGGTGTTGCTACTAGAAGCTGGCGGACAAGAGACGGAAATCAGCGACGTGCCGATTCTAAGTCTGTATTTGCACAAGAGCAAGTTGGATTGGGGTTACAAGTAAGTATCACTCATCGAAGATTGGATGGTATCCTACTTTGAAATTGAATTCGAGCGTTCACACAAAGATACTGCTAAGGAGGAAGTTCCAATCTAACTAAGGTAACGAAAATTCAGTAGGGAAACTAAAAAAATCGTTATATAATTGAGGAAAAATACCAAACGCGTGTGTGGTCAGGGCAAAAATATCCAAAGGAAAGCGTCACATCGTATTCGCTGGAATACAAACGTTTTCATACTTATTTGTTTACTGTTGCATAACTTTAAGATTCGATAGAACTTTTAAAATTAATGCATAAAGTCTATATAAACATGGGTCGAAAAATGCGTGGCTTCCGAAATACAGGGTGTTTAAATTTACTTTCTAAAATACTTTTTTTTTAAATATTTCGAACAATATTTGATGTATAACAGTGAAAATTGGTATACAAGGGTCTTTTGGTAAGACAAAACGAACGATGGGCATAGTTTTACTGTAGCCGCTAGAGGGCGCTCTCTACTGTACCTGTAGTGTATTAAAATGACCGATATTTTTTTCTTAGTGCAATTTTTGCTTTTGAATAGAAAAACTGATTCTTCGCACTTTTCAACATAAAAAAGCTTTCTTGTGAATTTACGTTATAGTTAGCCGTTTTTGAGATATTTCGATTTTTAAGGTTCGATGCATTTTTAATTATTTATGGGAAAATAATATTTTTTTTACATTTTCGATTTGGGCATTACAAGTAATTAAGATGATCGTTTAGATTGTGTTTTTAAACACAGCAATAGTTCCTAACTCCAAATAAACACAAAAAACAGAATATTAATTTGTTTAATTTTCCAATATTATTTTTAACAAATTAAATTAATTATTTACAACTAAAATGCTATTGGATAGTTAGGACAAACATACAAAATCTAAAGTAGTTGCTCGAAATGTAAACCCAATTGTTCAGTACACAATTCACATCTACGAATGATCGAACGTGGTATAGCATTATTCAAATAAGGCCTTATTTCATCAAATGCATTCCTGATTCTATCAATTAGCATATCTCTTGTGGTTACGGGAGTCTGGTACACTTTTTCTTTTAGAAATCCCCACACAAAGAAATCTAATGGATTTAGGTCAGGGGATCGTGGAGGCCAGGCGACTGGTCCTCCACGGCCGATCCATCTTTCTGGATAATTTTCGTCCAGCCAGTTTCTAACTATTCTCGAATAATGAGCTAGACAACCATCAAGCTGGAACCAGGCCAATCTTCTTAAATCTAACATAACATCATCCCACATATTTGCATGTTTAGCCTTCAAAAATTCCAAGAAGGTCGCAGCATTTAACCTTGCAGGCAAAAGGTAGGGTCCAAATAGTCGATTACGGTAGATACCAATCCACACGTTCACACTAAATTCATGCTGAAAATTTCTTTCCCGAACTGCATGCGGATTTTCATGCGACCAAATATGTTGATTATGAAAATTTACCACTCCACGTCTAGTGAAGCATGACCCATCGGTCCATAAAACGTTACTTAAAAACTCCCTATTATTATCAGTTCTATCAAGAATCCACTGACAAAATGTGATTCTTCGTTCTCCGTCCCCTGGCTGTAGTCCTTGCACAGGTTGCAAATGGTAAGGACGTCTATGGTCATTTCTAAGAACACGGTGAACATGGGTTGCTGCAATTCCCAAGGCACCAAAAACTCTCCTAACACTTGTGGTCGGATCTCTATCAAACTCACGCAGAATCATACGGGTAAATCTGCGCTGACGAACATTTATGTTTTGATCCCTTTGGAGATTTCCAAAACCATTTTCAATTATTTGGCGATGCACTCTTACAAATAGTGAGCGGGTTGGATGTCGTCTGTTTGGAAATCTTCGTGCGTATTCTCTGGCTGCTTCTGCTGCGTTTCCATTTACAAAGCCATACACAAAATGAATATCCGCTAACTCTTGATTGAGAATAAAAATGGCATTTTTATAAAACTTACAAAAAAAAAACAGGTAAAAGAAACTAAATTTCGTGCATTCACAATTGCAAAAAAACGTTTCAGGTTTCAACAGACAACAAAACTGTCAACTAATTGACGTTTAACCTTATTCTGCTTTCAATTTCAAAAATATTTGCAGGCACAGCCTACTTCTAAAAATTATCGAGATACGGACTTTTTAACGTTATTTTATCATAAATAATTAAAAATGTATCGAAGCTTAAAATCGAAATATCTCAAAAACGGCTAACTATAACGAAAATTCACAAGAGAGCTTTTTATGTTGAAAAGTGCGAAGAATCAGTTTTTTTATTCAAAAAGCAAAAAATTGCACTAAGAAAAAATTTTCGGTCATTTTAATACACTAAAGGTACAGTAGAGAGCGCCCTCTAGCGGCTAAAGTAAAACTATGCCTATGGTTCATTTTGTCGTACCAAAAAACCCTTGTATACCAATTTTCACTGTTATACATCAAATATTGTTCGAAATATTTTAAAAAAACTATTTTAGAAAGGAAATTTAAACACCCTGTATTTCGGAAGCCACGCATTTTTCAACCCATGTTTATATAGACTTTATGCATTAATTTTAAAATTTCCATCGAATCTTAAAGTGATGCAACCATAAACTGAAACACCCTGTATATAATATGGAATTTTCCTATTTTTCACATTAACAGGTAAGATTGCTTCATTGAAAGTTTCACTTTATTGGCACCGGATCTTAACATTCTATCAGTTGGAAGCATTGATGCTCAACTGGTTTAGATTATTTAAAGACAAAAGGAAAGACGATCATTTATGACCAGTTGAACACATTGTCTAGATGGCTTTATGTAGAAAGTCAAAAATCAATATCTCCTCACCTCTTCTAACAGGCTCATTTGCAAATTATGAATGAAAATACACTAACACGCAAAATAATGGCTATGATTCACATGATTTTCTTCAAAACAGCATATATTCTTCAAAAATTGAGATATTGACATGAATCAAAAAAAGAACTGTTGAGAAAATTTGAAGCTTAAAATTCTTCTACGAAGACATATCATTCAGTAATCCAATGTTCCCACATGGTGTTCAGAAATTTGGGGCAAAATGCACCTTTTAGTTACACCCTGTACAACAACAAATATTTGCAAGCCGATAATGATGACAATGACATTACCTACAATTTGACGAAAAAATTAACACAATTGATGCAAAGCTTAAAAAGTAATTTCAACTTTAATTTGAACAAAATTTTGTCTGTCCGGTTAATTTTGCATGGCAGTGTAGATTGAAACTGATCCAAGCAGGAATTTTCATCCGGAGCGTGAAAACTACGTGGCGTAGAGTAGTACTTTCTATTGCAAACATCGTTTTTCATTACTGCTACAGATTAACGATTTATTGTAACGCTATAAACAAGGAAAGTTCTCTTTAAACTGGTCAACTAGGCGTAAGAACGCTACTCATAACCTCACACATAAGATTAGTTCAATGTTTACAAACAATATAATTTTAAAAACCAATTCACAGTGATAAGCGTTAGGTGGATCGAACCCAAAGAAACTTGACCTTATACGAGGGATGTCTTTTAAGTTTTGCATATAGAAACATAGTAGGCCGCGCGGATCGAACGTCACTAGTGAATCTGAACCTCACTCTTTAGTAAACTTAAATTTAAAGTTTCACAACAAAAAGTGTTCTCGCTACAGTGAATTTTTAAGTGTCACCAAGTCATTAGAAAAATGGAACTCAACCGAGAACATTTTCGCGCCATAATTTATTACAACTTTCAGAGACAATTATCGCAACAAGAATGCCTTGCTGAGTTACTGTCTGTTTTCGGCAACGAAGCGAAACATCAGTCGACAATTTCCCGTTGGTGTGGAGAATTCAAACGTGGACGGGTGAGTCTTAGGACCGTATCGTCAGTCGTCCCTACACCAAAAATGCACCCAGAAAAACGTCGATGCTGTGGGCAAACTCATCATTGAAGATAGACATGTGCCATAGCGCGAGATTGAGGCGTCCTTGAAGATCTCAACAACCTCAATTCCAAAAATTTTACATGAAGAATTAGGAGTAAGAAAATTAGTTTCTCTATGGATTGTTAGTGGTGGTGAGTCGTGGATTTACTGTCATGAACCAGAAAATAAACGACAGTCGGCTGTTTGGGTGTTCCAAGGTGAAGAAAAGCCAACAAAAGTCATCCGTTCTCGAAGTGTTTCGAAAAAGATGGTCGCGACATTTGTGTCAAAAGCGGGTCATATTGCAACAATTCCTCTTAATGAGCAAGGAACTGGTACTGCGGATTGGTATACCACCATTTGTTTGAATACTTCGAAAAACAATAGTCATTTAAAAATACCTACCGTGTTGTTTTATTTCCATATGCAAAACTTAAAAGACATCCCTCGTAGAGAGGATTAACGAAAATCATGAATCCCCCTAATTTGTTTTATGTCATCTGTTGAAAAGAATATAAATAAAACAATACTTTATTTAGCATATTGCAATTTGTGTGAAATAAGAGGTTCTATTATACCGATACATAAATCAGGAACAAAAACAGATGTTAACAACTATAGACCAGTATCAATAATATCCAGTGTAGCAAAGGTTTTTGAAAAAGTTTTATCTACTAGAATGATTCGATACCTCACAAATTCAAAATTTTAAGTGAAAATCAATATGGATTTACAGAAGGGAAGGCTACATCAGACGCAATAACTAAAATTGTAAATCAAATACATCAAAATATTGATAACAGAATCCCTTCAATCTGCATTTTTGTTGATTTAAAGAAAGCTTTCGACACAGTTAATCACAAATTATTATTAGAAGCATTGGAGAGAATTGGTTTCAGAGGAAACGCGTACTCACTGATCGAAAGTTATTTGTCAAATCGCCCACAATCTGTGCAGATATCAGGATCATTTAGTAAAGAAATGTATATTAAGTGTGGTGTCCCACAAGGAACTGTCTTAGGTCCGCTGTTATTCAATATATATTTAAATGATATTTTCCAAATTAATTGTGTTGGCAAAATAACTAGTTTTGCAGATGATACTGCAATATTATATGAAGGCACTGACTGGTCTGATCTGAAAAATGTAATTGAAAATGATCTTATCAAAATTATTCGGTGGTTTAACAGTAGAAAATTAAGCATTAACTACTCTAAAACACATTTTTTACCATTTGGATCTTATGCTAGACATCTGCCAAATTACACAAATTTCTCCTTCAATATTAATGATCAAAAAATGCAAATTAATAGAGTGCCCAACATAAAATACCTTGGAGTGGTCTTGGATCCTCACTTACGATGGGACATCCATGTCAATTATATTTTAAAGAAAGATAGATTTGTATCCTACAAAATTAAATACCTTGGGAATATATTGACAGAAAAATATCTTCGAACATTATACCATGCACTGATTGAGCCTCATCTCACATATGGTATATTAGCATGGGGAGCTGCATGTTCCTCACATATCTATAATTTAGATGTTTTTCAAAAAGTATTCTAAAAATGATATTTAAAAAACCGAAACTTTATCCCACTGAAAAATTATACGCAGATGTTCGAATGTATGATATAAGACAGCTTTTTTTCGTACACAGTATCACTCACTACCATAAATTTGTAAACACCGACCAAAAAATTAAACATAATCATTATACCAGGTACAAAATTCGTGGCACAGTAGTTCCTCAACCGCATAAATCTATAATGCAGCGATCATATCTCTATTTAGCGCCTAAATTTTATGAAATTATACCTAAAGACTTAAAAGATTTACGTTTCGGAAATTGTTTCAAAAGAAATTTAAAAAAGTGGCTACATTCTATATCTAGGACTGAAATTCATAAACTCATAAATACGAACATCAACTAAATACATAATCTACTGTAGCTAATTTTTGTCCTTTTTTGTCATTTGCATTCTACAGTTTCAACTTAAATTATTGGTTCATGTACAGGCGATGCCTTCTATTGGGCCTGTTTTGATTTTATATTTATTTACTCATATTGTTTGTTATCTTTGTACATTGAGTGAATAAATATTATTATTATTATTATTATTATTGAGTAATTTTTAATCCATAAATGCAACACACTATTAGTAATGTCTTGTTTTAGAACTGAACCGTCAGACTCTGCCTGTCAAGCGATGGTAGAGAAACGTTGTAGTTGGACAAGAGGAAAAGTCCTCGGTGGCTCTTCGGTACTGAATACGATGCTTTACATAAGAGGAAATCGCAGAGACTTTGACCGATGGGCAGCTTATGGTAATCCAGGATGGTCTTACCAGGATGTATTACCATATTTCAAGAAAAGCGAAGATCAGAGAAATCCCTATTTGGCAAAAGATAAGAGGTACCATGCTACAGGTACGTAACAAGGGCTTTTTAATAACAATCTAAAGTTATGATCTTAATTCGTTTTATTTTTACGAAAACAATGCACTCTAGGAAAAAAGCACAAGAGTAATTATCTGTAGGAAATTGAAGGTAAAATTCGTTTCGAAAAAAAAAACAGTGGCGTACTATACTAAGTGACATATAAATCCGAACACCCAGTTTAAATGGTTTTATTTTAATAAAATTTTGTATAAGTACTTAATGAAGCATAATAAGTAAATGATAAAAATTTCAAAATGATTGCACTGCTTTAAAACCCTTTGACCTTGAATAATGTGTGAATGCACCCTGATGTGCTACGCATTCTCCAACGCGCCTAGGCATGCTTCTGATCAACTAGTCAATGTCCTCCTGTGGTATCTCATTCCAGGCAACCACCAACTCCTCTCGAAGTTCTTCTAGAGTCTGAGGAGGACGTTGCAAATTGAGCAATCTCCTACCCATCATATCCCACACGTGCTCAATTAGGGATAAGTCGGGAGATCTTGGTGGCCATGGTAACAATGTGACATCATTATGTTGAAAGAAGTCTATTGTGACTCTTGCAACATGTGGTCGGGCATTATCTTGTTGGAAAGTGTTGGATCTGCCAGGGTGTCAAGATAGGGTAAAAGATGGGGTTCTAGAACTTCGTGGATATAACGCTGCGCGTTCATGTTAACTCTGATGAAGATTAAAGGTGACCTGGAACCATAAGCTATAGCACCCCAAACCATAACTCCAACAGTGTGATGAACATGTCTTTAAACAAAGAACTGTGGATTTCTCCTTTCACCACGTCGGCTTCTAACCCTGGCACGACCATCGTGCATGCCTAAACAAAATTGAGACTCGTCACTAAAGACAATACTGTTCCATTCCTGATCCCAGAGTGACCGTTGTCTGTACCACTCAAGGCGATTACGTCGGTGTTCTCGAGTTAAAGGGAGGACCCAGTGTGGCCGGTATGAAAACAAGCCAAAACTTCTCATTCGTCGGTAAACACTTCGCATGCCAATAAGTCTTCCGTGCTCTGCAAACCATTCATTTGCAATGGACCTGCTAGTGGAGAAACGGTCCCTTAAGGTCAATAATCTTAGGCGGCGATCTTCACGATCTGTTGTTCTACGGCGGCGTCCAGTGCCTCTTGCTCTTTGCGTACGGCCTTCTCGAAGCCATGCCTGACAACACCTAGCCACAGTGTCTACACTTCTTTGCACTCTAACTGCAATTGCCCGAAAAGAAAGTCCAGCTTCCCGAAGTCCCACTATACGGCCCCAATCAAACTCACTAAGTTGACCAAATCGTACAGGTCTTCGTACTCTAGGCATCGTAACCGATCGTAAAGGATGTCAAGAACCAAAATCCGCCAACGTTGATTCTTTACTGCGGCTGAAATATTCATTTTTAGAGCGTTAGTGAATTAAAAAAAAGCAGTGTAAAAACCGGAATGTCCAACTGATAAAGCTGAAAATTTTTTCACTTGTTATTTACAGTAAGATAAATACATTCACCAACTTTTATTAAAATAAAACCATTTAAACTGGGTGTTCGGATTTATATGTCACTTAGTATATTTTTATTTGGAAAAATAGTCCTACTAATCCCCTGTACCTCCGCCACTGGTGCACGTTAATTTTAAGTAAAGACTTTTGAATGTGGGCACTGCTTAGGTAGAACCACATACCAAATTTTAGTTCGTTGTAGTGGAGGGTTTTGAGTGTATTAAAAAAAAGTTCTTTATTATTAAACTTCAACACCACCCCGTATATTTTTAATGAAGGCCTTGAAATGTTACATAGAAGACCTCTCTTAAAATGCGGCCTGTGTATGATGTTTCATTTTTGGTCACGACCTGTGAATCACCATGTATTGTTCTTCCGATTGATAATGATCACCCCTATACCCTCTTCCGTTTGATCCATGACTTTTGTGACACACTGTATACTAAAACTATGTAGTATAAGCTAAGCTTTATAGATCGAAATAACGAATACAAAATAACCACTGTATATCGCTCTCAACAAATGCTAGAGGGTTGCTGTTCTGATTGCTCATTGATGTCTCCTCTCCGAACATGGGTTATGTTCAACAGCACCATTGATTGAGGGATTCTACCTGGGAAATAGACAACTATATACTGTACTCCTGTGTCCAAAAGGGAATCTGAAAGATACTAGCGCATTCTATGAGACAGTAGAAGAACACAACAATGAATTTACAAATCTACAATGAGGCCCCTCAGCAAATCTTAGATCGGATGACATATGTCGTTCTTCTGATTGGAAATGATCCCACCCATTACCCCCTTCCATTTGATCCATGACAATCTGTATACTAAGACCAGGTAGCATAAGGTAGGCTTTATAGATAAATCTAACCAGTACAAAATAGCCACCATATAAAATTTAATTTTAGAGGGTTGCTGTTCTGATTGCCCATTGATATCTCCTCTATGAACATGCGTTATGTTCCCTAATGCCATTGATTAAGGCATTCTACCTAGAAAATAGTCAATTATACTATACTGTACTCCGGCGGCCAAAATGGGATCTGAAAGATACTAGCACATAGGGCAGTAGAATCCAAAAATAAATTTACAAATCTACTTTGAAAATATACTAAGTGACATATAAATCCGAACACCCAGTTTAAATGGTTTTATTTTAATAAAAGTTGGTGAATGTATTTATCTTACTGTAAATAACAAGTGAAAAAATTTTCAGCCTTATCAGTTGGACATTCCAGTTTTTATACTGCTTTTTTTAATTCACTAACGCTCTAAAAATGAATATTTCAGCCGCAGTAAAGAATCAACGTTGGCGGATTTTGGTTCTTGACATCGTTTACGATCGGTTACGATGCCTAAAGTACGGAGACCTGTACGATTTCGTCAACTTAGTGAGTTTGATAGGGGCCGTATAGTGGGACTTCGGGAAGCTGGACTTTCTTTTCGGGCAATTGCAGTTAGAGTGCAAAGAAGTGTAGACACTGTGGTTAGGTGTTGTCAGGCATGGCTTCGAGAAGGCCGTACGCAAAGAGCAAGGGACACTGGACGCCGCCGTAGAACAACAGACCGTGAAGATCGCCGCCTAAGATTATTGACCTTAAGGGACCGTTTCTCTACTGCCAGGTCCATTGCAAATGAATGGTTTGCAGAAGACGGAAGACCTATTGGCATGCGAAGTGTTTACCGACGAATGAGAAGTTTTGGCTTGTTTTCATACCGGCCACACTGGGTCCTCCCTTTAACTCGAGAACACCGACGTAATCGCCTTGATTGGTGCAGACAACGGTCACTCTGGGATCAGGAATGGAACAGTATTGTCTTTAGTGACGAGTCTCGATTTTGTTTAGGCATGCACGATGGTCGTGCCAGGGTTAGAAGGCGACGTGGTGAAAGGAGGAATCCACAGTTTTTTGTTGAAAGACATGTTCATCACACTGTTGGAGTTATGGTTTGGGGTGCTATAGCTTATGGTTCCAGATCACCTTTAATTTTCATCAGAGGTAACATGAACGCGCAGCGTTATATCCACGAAGTTCTAGAACCCCATCTTTTACCCTATCTTGATACCCTGGCAGATCCAACTTTCCAACAAGATAATGCCCGACCACATGTTACAAGAGTCACAATAGACTTCTTTCAAAATAATGATGTCACATTGTTACCATGGCCACCAAGATCTCCCGACTTATCCCCAATTGAGCACGTGTGGGATATGATGGGTAGGAGATTGCTCAATTTGCAACGTCCTCCTCAGACTCTAGTAGCACTTCTAGAGGAGTTGGTGGTTGCCTGGAATGAGATACCACAGGAGGACATTGACCACCTGATCAGAAGCATGCCTAGGCGCGTTGGAGAATGCGTAGTACATCAGGGTGCATCCACACATTATTAAAGGTCAAAGGGCTTTAAAGCAGTGCAATCATTTTGAAATTTTTATCATTTACTTATTATGCTTCATTAAGTACTTATACAAAATTTTATTAAAATAAAACCATTTAAACTGGGTGATCGGATTTATATGTCACTTAGTATATTTAGCATATGTACAGCCTTTAACAGTTACTAAACAACAGTTGTATAAGTGATTCCGTTGGGAGCAATTTGTTGGCTAAAGTAGTAAATTGCACAGCAAAGCAACAAGGCTCGGGTTTGTTTCATAAACGTTACCATGGATGCCACAACACAACCACTTTGACTAAGGTGCAAATATGCCGTATAAAATAGTTGTATAAACGTTTATGCAACAGTTAATAATTTGCCCTATAAGGTGTTGTATAACTATGCTATAAGAATATTTTAAACACTTCATTTTAGAGCAAATATGTTGCAGAAAGCAAATCTGCATTCCACACAACATTAAGCCAGCATTTTGGTGTTCAGGCAACAACAATAGAGAGCTTTTATGGCTGAACGGTTCTTTTACCAAAAGCTTATACCACTGCTTTGCTAGTTGGGAAGATTCGGCATCGCGATACTTATTTTTGGCCTTTCATATGTTTGATGAACTAGCAAAACATCATAAAAATTACATCAGTACTCGCTAATAAAGGTTTGATGAAGATAAAATAGGAAGAATGAATTATACCGTCCTGGAAATTACGCTTTCTGAAGCCAAAAATATGTATGTCTGCTTATTATACTGGAATCATATTCCATTTCCCCAATTGTCTTCTAAGTTATGAAGAATGAGCTAGACTGAAAATAGTCCATAAAAACTTACTCATAAATATACTTGAAATTTCAAAGCATCTTCCAATCCAGTCCTCGGAAACATTGACCACAATCCGTCGTGTGTAACTAATTTACAGCAATATATTTCGCAATGATCACTCCGTATGCATAAAATGTTAGAGATATTGTTAATGACCTTAACACTCTCTGCTGGTGTTACGTTGGTCTTCTCGTAACGCTGCTGTGTTTCATAATTGTTCGAGCACGATAACCTTAGCGTTAATCGTTTATTTCAACTGCATCATTAGCTACTTGCGTTAGATAAATGTCGAATTAGTTTGTGATTCAGCAAAAAAAAAGGTTTTTCTGAAGTTTGTACTTTTTATTGCGTATAATGACGGGAAAGATAATCGAGGTTGAGTGGGTGTTCTGGAATGCTAATGACGACTAAATTAGGAAAAAAATAATGTCAGTGTTTTCCGTCTGTTTGTTGTCTGCCAGTCTGACTGCGATAAGTTGCGCTTGATATTAATAACCACTATGTATACTAAGTGACATATAAATCCGAACACCCAGTTTAAATGGTTTTATTTTAATAAAATTTTGTATAAGTACTTAATGAAGCATAATAAGTAAATGATTGCACTGCTTTAAAGCCCTTTGACCTTTAATAATGTGTGGATGCACCCTGATGTGCTACGCATTCTCCAACGCGTCTAGGCATGCTTCTGATCAGGTGGTCAATGTCCCTCCTGTGGTATCTCATTCCAGGCAGCCACCAACTCCTCTCGAAGTGCTTCTGGAGTCTGAGGAGGACGTTGCAAATTGAGCAATCTCCTACCCATCATACCCCAAACGTGCTCAATTGGGGATAAGTCGGGAGATCTTGGTGGCCATGGTAACAATGTGACATCATAATGTTGAAAGAAGTCTATTGTGACTCTTGCAACATGTGGTCGGGCATTATCTTGTTGGAAAGTTGGATCTGCCAGGGTGTCAAGATAGGGTAAAAGATGGGGTTCTAGAACTTCGTGGATATAACGCTGCGCGTTCATGTTACCTCTGATGAAGATTAAAGGTGACCTGGAACCATAAGCTATAGCACCCCAAACCATAACTCCAACAGTGTGATGAACATGTCTTTCAACAAAAAACTGTGGATTCCTCCTTTCACCACGTCGCCTTCTAACCCTGGCACGACCATCGTGCATGCCTAAACAAAATCGAGACTCGTCACTAAAGACAATACTGTTCCATTCCTGATCCCAGAGTGACCGTTGTCTGCACCACTCAAGGCGATTACGTCGGTGTTCTCGAGTTAAAGAGAGGACCCAGTGTGGCCGGTATGAAAACAAGCCAAAACTTCTCATTCGTCGGTAAACACTTCGCATGCCAATAGGTCTTACGTGTTCTGCAAACCATTCATTTGCAATGGACCTGGTAGTGGAGAAACGGTCCCTTAAGGCCAATAATCTTAGGCGACGATCTTCACGGTCTGTTGTTCTACGGCGGCGTCCAGTGCCCCTTGCTCTTTGCGTACGGCCTTCTCGAAGCCATGCCTGACAACACCTAAACACAGTGTCTACACTTCTTTGCACTCTAACTGCAATTGCCCGAAAAGAAAGTCCAGCTTCCCGAAGTCCCACTATACGGCCCCTATCAAACTCACTAAGTTGACGAAATCGTACAGGTCTCCGTACTTTAGGCATCGTAACCGATCGTAAAGGATGTCAAGAACCAAAATCCGCCAACATTGATTCTTTACTGCGGCTGAAATATTCATTTTTAGAGCGTTAGTGAATTAAAAAAAAGCAGTGTAAAAACCGGAATGTCCAACTGATAAGGCTGAAAATTTTGTCACTTGTTATTTACAGTAAGATAAATACATTCACCAACTTTTATTAAAATAAAACCATTTAAACTGGGTGTTCGGATTTATATGTCACTTAGTATAATTTTTCGTAAAAATGCAATGACCATTTCAGTTGACGATTATTTCGTTTCGAGCAGTCATGGAGTAGATCAAAAATAGTGAATGACAATACTTTTTGGTCCACTGTATATAATAGTGAAATAATTGAATTGTTCACCTATTACTGATGCTCTTTATCAGGTCGAAGCTTCGTTGGCATTTAGATAGACGTATGAAAGTTTCGCACCTTAATGATTTTAATGGCTATAATTGTTGCTCGAATATTACCTAATTCTGGTACTTACGTCTGCAATGACCAAATAAGATATTCATGTTACTTACCGAGAAATTTGAAGTAATTAATCTTATGCAATCGTGAAGCTTACCTGAAATCAAGGAAAAAATTTATCCAGAATTACAAACATTTTAAGAAATCATTTTTATACAGGGTGTATACTTTATGGTAGTCATTATTGAAATGGGTAATAGTATAGTATAGTTTACAACTTTAAGTGCTTCATATCGATCACAATCACCACAATCTTACTAATTTTTATAATCTAATCTAAAACGTTTTTAAATTGGGTAATTAACTAATAAATGGCATTAAGCAAAATTTGTAGTCAGTAAGTTTCATTAAATTAAATATTTAATACACACATGACAACAGCGCGTCGGGCTTTCATCACTCTTATCGAACCGGCAATCGATCGCAAACGGTAACAGTGGTTAGTTATCGTTTTGCATAGATAAATTACTTTATCGTTTTGTCGAGAAGGGCAACGGGCGTGTTGTTTTGTTTTTGTTCGCGTACGTCGTCGTGTTTATTTACAATGTTCTCGAATCAAGAGTTCGCCGGTGAAGCTCGTCAGAATTCAAATCTTGCAGCTCAAGTTTAGCCAATAACCTACCAGAACTTTTGGAACAGACCCTAGACAACATGCCATTACAACGGAGACAGAATTTGGGGTTTCTTCATGACGGGGCACCACCACACATTTTTAAAGGCGTCATTCAGTATTTGAATGAACAGATCGCTGGATCGGTCGAAATGCTCCTGATCCTCTAAAATGACCAGCAAGATCTCCTGACCTCAATCCGATGGATTTCTGGTATTGGGGAGAACTTAAAGGAATGGTTTATGGGGCTGGTCCAATCACAACTGAAACACAACTTCGCGAAGAAGTTTTTAATGCGGCTGAAATAATAAATGGACAACTTCGAGGACCTAGAGTAAGAAGAAACTGGGTTCGTCGTAATGAAGCTTGTGTGGAAAGTGGAGGACGACATTTTGAACACCTACTTTAAATACAAAAAAGTGCAGTGTGGATTTTAAAAAGAAAGACAATGTATGTATCAAAATTGTGTTCCCTATTATTAAATAATGAAATAATACCTAAGAGCCAAAAATAACAAACTCCATCTTTATTTACACCGCGTTTCGTCGTAATTTGCGTCTGGCATTGCGGCGTTGTCAGATTTTATTTTACTTCAAAGTCGCTTTTCTCTAAAAAAATGTCGTTTTTATCCGCATGTTATATGAAACTTTTTGCTTCTTTTAACCCCCTCCATCACCCATTTAAGTAATGACTATCATAACATTTACACCCTGTATTTTAAAGAAATAAGAAATGGTGGTTTTCAAATAAAAGAGTGTAAAACCATTTTCTTCAATGAGCTTCAAAATCATTTAAAGTATAAAACGGCATATTTACGATCGAAAAAATATTTATGAATTTATAGATCGTTTTAACAGCTAAAGAAAAGCTTGTTTTTAGAAACACATTTTTTTATTTTATTTATTTTTCAGGCGGATATCAGACGATCCAAGATGCTCCCTACAATACACCACTAGGAATTGCGTTCTTGGAGGCCGGGGCAGAAATGGGTTATGACATCAGGGACGTCAATGGAGATAAACAGACTGGATTTGCACTGTGGCAGTACACGATGAGGAGAGGAGCCAGATGCAGTGCAGCCAAAGCTTTCCTAAGGCCAATCAGGTAATGAGTCGACATAGACTCTGCAACTGAAAATGAGGTGAATGTCTTATATATCACATACGAGCCCCTTCCCACTTCAATTGGCCCAACTATTGAAATCTTAGTTTTTTTCTTATCAAACACAAATAATAAAAATGTAGCAGGGTGTTATAGGTTTAAAATATTAACAATAATATTTAGATAATATATAGTAGAAAACACCAACTTTATCACTCCCTAATCAAATTTGCAGCATAAAAATAACACATGTTGCAATTACAGCATATCAACCTATTTTCATTTCAATGCAAAATAAGTCTATAACGCATAGGTGGCTGTGAAAAATAAAAGCCATGACAATTGTTTTTATTAATCACAGCTGTCAGAATACGTTTAAAATAGTTTTGGGTAGTTAAGGTTTTCAAAATGGGTAGAGGAAAGGTTATTAGTGAGAAAATTCGGTTACTGATAATTAAATTTTTTAATTCTGGGAAAACAAACTCAGAAACTGCAACTTTGTTAGACTTATCGCGGTACAGTGTGAGAAATATTGTTAGACGATATAAAGTAACTGGTTCAGTTAATATTAAGCCACGATATGTGAAAAAAAGTAATATCACAAATGCCAAACGAAGAGCATTAAGAAAAATAATCGTGAAAAACAGGCGTGCAAATTATTTACAATTAAGTGCTCTGTGGACTGACGCTGTTGGAAGGAGAATTTCGAGGTCCACAACTCATAGAGAGGCCCACAAACTGGGATTTAGCACTTGCAAGGTAAGTTTTCTTATAAAAAAAGTGAAGTAAAAACCCTAAAGTTGCACAACATGTTTATAGGCCAAAGAAAAGCCACTATTAACTCCACTGCAAAAGAAAATCGGCTTAGATGGGCTAAAGAACATAGACAATGGACACCTCAACAATGGTGTGCAATACAATGGAGTGATGAGGCCCGATTCGAAGTTTGTGTTGGTGACAGTCGCAGTAGAGTTATTCGCAAAAAATGAAGCATTCCATGTTGACTGCCTGAAGAGAAAAGTAAAATTTCCAGCATCCATTATGGTCTGGGGCAGTATGTCATCAAAAGGAGTAGGAAAACTTCATTTTATTGATAGAAATGTGGATACAAACAAATATTTGGCAATTTTAGAAGAATCGCTTTTACCAGTGATGGAAGAATGTTTGACATCCGGCCAAGATTTTGTGTTTCAGCAAGATGGTGCAGCGTGCCATACCTCAAAAAAGGCTATAAAATGGATGGAAGAAAATAATGTACCACTTTTAAAATGGGTTTCTAGCAGTCCAGATCTGTCACCTATTGAAGCTTTGTGGCACGAGATGAAAAAGGTTCTACGACAACATCCTGCTCGTACATCACCGAACTGAGACAAAAGCTTCAAGAAATATGGGATTGTTTTACACCAAATTTTTGACAAAACTTGGTTACCACTATGCCCCAAAGAATTTCAGCCGTAATAAAAAATAAAGGTGATGTTACTCAATGGTAATCTTTCAATTGTTGCTTTGTTAACTTCGCGCATTTATTCGCACATTGTTTATTTGTTCAGATGTTCTATTAGTTATAGGTCTAAGTGATTTCAAATATGTATTTTTTACGACTAGAGTGTATCTAAAATGTTTTTGAGAAAATAAATTGTTTTAGAAGTAAGTAGTTTCGTCATGTTTAGTTTAGAAAGGCATATTTTGGTATGGGCCACCTGAAGTGGGAAGGGGCTCGTACATGTGGAGCATAGTCGAACGCATCTTGGAGCTGTTGATTCTATTCTCGGAAGTTCAAAAGCAAAGAATTTAACGTATTTCTAAATAGAACATAGAACAGAATGGTTTTCCATTCTGGTGAAAAAAAAGAATGGTGCGTGTAGTGCGTCACTGGATAGCTTTTTTGAGCTCAATAAAAGTTATTCGTCAAGCCTAGTTTCGAATTTTAGTCCACTTAGAATTATACAGGGTGTTCCTTAATGATATGTGTTTAAAACCCCTGCCCAGGTTCATCCCCCAAAAGAATATAAAACATCTGTCATTCCGTATTTCGTTCTGTCATCTCAATGAAAATTTGCCTTTCATCACTGTCATTTTGTGTGCTGGTATGGAAAATTTTCAGAGAAGAGAAAAGGAAACCGTATGTTAAAAACTGGTTGTAAAATCATGGTTGCAGACAAAGCCACAAGTAATAGCCACAAAAAGTAACACTGTATTTTTTCTGAGTGTAGACTGAAAGAACATGAATATTCAGGGTGTTCCTTAATGATATGCGAATATTTAAGGGTGTGAATCTACAAAAACTCGGGGTGTTGAGTTTTTAGGAAAAAAATAAAAATTAATTAATATCTTCAGAACCGCTTCAGATATTTCACTGATATTTAGTACGTAGTGAAAGTTAATAAACTTGCATATTTTTCAATGCAAAAATAATTTTTAGCTTTAACAGTGGCGTGCGTACGGGTATTGACCCCGATATTTTTTAATAAAAAAATGGTACGCCAATGGTTTTTTTGCCAAATTGAATTCCCCGTTCAATTTAAAACAGATGATCTCTCTTGAATTGTTTTCCTTCGATGCGCCATTTCTGAGTAAAAAATAATAACCGTTCTATTGTCTAACTTAAATTATTATTATTAATTTAATTAGTAAACATAACATTATAACCAACGACCAACTAAATGATTACAAAAATTGTTGAAAATGGCCCCCTTCGCTTAGTATGCATGCTTCCGCCCTCCTTCTCATGGAATTGCGCACTCGTTGAAATATCCCTGGAGTGTTTTTTAATCTATCACAAGCTGCAACTATTCTTTCTCTTAGTTCCTCTAGAGTGTTAATGGGACTTGTGTACACTAGTGTCTTAAGATAGCCCCACAAAAAGAAATCTAAACTGTTGAGGTCGCATACTAAAATAAGAATGATTGATATTCAAATCAAGTTGGGTACTTTATTTTGAAGGTTCATTTATACCATTTATGTATGAAAAATAATATCGCTCAAATGTTCACCACGACTGGATTTACAGACGTCCACGCGATGGTCGAAATATTCAATGACATTTTGCAACATGGTCGGTTCTATGGCATTTATTTTGTTATATTGTTTTTGAGTTCTTGGAGGGTGGCTAGTTTGTTGACGTAGACTTTTCTTTTCAAATATCCCCATAAAAAGAAGTCCAAGGGAGTCAAATCGCACGATCTTGGTGGCCATGGCACATTTCCTCTGCGCGAAATCACGCGATCACCGAAGAAGGACTGCAATCGATGGATATTGACGTTGGTTGTGTGGCATGTTGCACCGTCTTGTTGGAAATAAACATCGTCCATATCCATTCCTTCAAGTTGCGGCAAAAAATAGTCCTCTATCATCACGTGATATCGCTCAGAATTGACGGTAACGGCGTCCCCGACCGCATTTTCGAAAAAGTACGGACCGATGATGCCTTTTGACCACAATGCACACCACACAGTCACTTTTTGAGGATGCATCGGCTGCTCTTGACACTCACGGGGATTTTCGTTCGCCCAGATGCGGCAGTTTTGCTTGTTTACCGTCACATTCAAAGTGAAATGCGCTTCGTCGCTGAACATGATTTTTGATGAAAAATTGGCATCAATTTGGCGGTGTTCAAGGAGCCAATCTGAGAACGTTCGGCGCGAAAAATGGTCGGCCCGACGCAGCTCTTGCGTCAATTGGATCTTGTAGGCGTGTACATTCAAATCCTTGTGGAGAACGCGGAGCAAGCTGGTTCTCGAAATGCCCAAATCTTGGGATCGACGCGTTGTTGATTGTTTCGGATCGTCTCTCACACTCTCCTTCACAACAGCAATATTTTCCGGTGTGCGAACGCTCCTTGGCCGGCCAGAGCCTGGCTGATTTGCCACAGAACCTGTTGCCTCGAATTTACGCACCAGACGACCGATGGTTGTTTCGTTTGGGCGGTTGTTGCGACCGAAATATTCACGAAGCGCGCGAAACGTGTCTTTATTTTTGCACCATTTTTGTAGTGCTCTTGAATAACTTTAACGCGGTCTTCAATCGAATACGACTCCATAGCGATCAATGGTAAACATTCAACTAACAAAATGACATGTCGGTGACAGAAAACAAAGATGGCGTCTATGTCAAATTGACGTTTACTTTCCTGCGTCCCTATTGGACAACCCTACATTTCTCCGCGGTATGATTATGATATATTTTGAATAAGCATCGTCATGTTCAATCCACAATAATCCATTAGCATTTTTTTTAAAAGGGTATTCAAAATATAACATCACAAAAAGAAGTATCAAAAATTACAATTTCTTTTATGATCTACCTTTTTTTAACAAATTTGCACCACTTGTTAGACTGATGAATATCGACAATCTTACACTCATGAGCTGCAATACCTTTAGCTGCTTCGCAAAACGTTCGCGGACAGCCTGATATTTTAGCCATCCACCACCACGAGCATAAAACCGCGCTAAGAGCTTTTAATTATAATTAGTTGAGGAACATTTTTGCGAGGCATTTTCAATAGAATTTTTGATTCAGAGTTTCATATGGGTACTACAAATGTGATATGATAAATACTTTTAATTTTAAGGTTAAGGAAAAATCTGCATATATCCATGTACTCCCACGTAACCAAGATTCTCATAGATCCAGCAACCAGGAGAGCATATGGTGTGGAGTTTCTGAAAAACGGAATCAAAAGAAGGGTGTTGGTTAGAAAAGAGGTGATTCTATCCGCGGGAGCCATAAACTCTCCTCATTTACTGATGTTGAGTGGAGTTGGCCCCGCTAATCATTTGAAAGAAAAGGGAGTTCCTGTTATACATGACTCGCCAGGAGTTGGTAAGTTTGTATTGGAAAAAGATTGGACGTGATATACAGAGCAACGTTCTTCTCTCTGTCTTCTCTTTCAAGCTTGAAGTAATAAATTGTGTCCCAACTGGTATCACTGGACAACAAATTTTAGTTTTTTAATTGTATCTTGTGGGAAAAGTGCACTTCTTTGTTAATTTTGGGGCGCTGAATCCAAAATGACAATGAAATAAAAAAATTAGTTGCGGTTTAGAAAACACTTTATTTTTAAGGATATATTAAAAAAAGTAACAAGATTCATATACTTATACGAATCACTATATGCGCTGTCTTTTTGCTGTTATTTTATGGATCGTTTCTGGAGCATCTCTACCAAGAGTCCAACAGTAGTCTGCAAGCATGGAAGGATTCCACTTTCCCTGGTACCTTTTTTCCATTGTTGAAATATCCTGATGAAAACGTTCGCCGTGCGCATCACTTACGGCTCCGCAATTGTCAGGAAAAAAGTCCAGGTGTGAGTGTAGGAAATGTATCTTAAGAGACATATTACAGCCCATCTTTTGATACGATGACAGCATATTTTTGACAAGGGTTTTATAGTTGTCAGCTTTTCTATTTCCCAAGAAATTAGTGACCACCAGACGGAAGTCATTCCAAGCAGTTTTTTCAATACCTGTTAAAGTGTTTTCAAACTGTGTATGTTTCAAAATATTTCGAATCTGTGGCCCAACAAAAATACCTTCTTTAACCTTTGCCTCACTTAGTCTTGGAAATTTCTGACGCAGGTACTGAAAAGCTGACCATCTCTATCTAATGCCTTGACAAAGTTTTTCATTAGGCCCAACCTGATATGCAGTGGTGGTAATAAATTTTTTTCGAATCTACTAATGGCATATGCTGTACATTTTTTTGACCTGGCTCTAGGAATTGACGAACAGGCCAGTTTTGTCTGGTGTAATGAAGTGCCTTTGCCCGACTGTCCTATTCACACAAAAAACAGCAAAACTTTGTGTAGCCTAGCTGCAGCCCAAGTAAAAGTGCAACAACTTTCAAATCGCCACAAATATGCCATTGGTGCTCATCGTATTTTATGCATGTCAATAGGTACTTCATATTGTCATATGATTCTTTCATGTGAACTGCCTACCCTACAGGAAGAGATGGTAAAATATTTCCAATATGCAATAACACTGCCTTTAAACTCAATGTTGAACTGTCTATAAACAATCTCCATTCTTCTGGGTTATAGTTTATATTTAAAGCCGCCAGTAAGCCGTTAATGTTACTGCAGAAAACCAAGTTATTCTCCATATTGAAAAATGGTTCTAAGTCTTCGTGGCGTTTACGAAAAACACATACCGAAACATCGTCTTCTAACAAGTTCCACTGCTGCAGTCTTGATCCAAGTAACTGTGCCTTACATTTTGGAAGTTCTAAATCTCTTACAAGATCATTTAATTCTGACTGTGTTATTTTGTGCGGTTGGTGGCATGCCGTGCTCGGTATAAAATCAGCATCTCTTGACGTTGATGGCATATCTTCTTCCTGACGAATCACTCGATCGCCATGATCTCATTCGTTTTCTGATTCGCAAGTGTAGGATTCTGGGGGTTCTGGAATAGGATTTTGGTCACTGTGAGGCACAGGTCTCATCGCAGATGGTATGTTTGGGTAGTTAATAACCGATTTTTTTTTCTTGGACATACCTGTGGCTTGTCCAACACAAGGTACCATGCAAAAGTAACAATCATTAATATGATTTGTAGGCTCTCTCCAAACCATTGGGACAGCAAAGCGCATAGACCGTTTTTTGCCATTTAACCAGCTCCTCAGACTTGAAGCACATGTATTACAGCAGATGTGGGGTGCCCACTGTTTGTCTTGATCACCTAGTTTACAACCGAAATAAAGCTGATATGCCTTTGTTATTAGTGGAGTAATAGACCGTATCTGAGACGCAAAAGTCACATCACCACACACGTAACAAAACTGATCTGGATTGTTTACACACTTTCGAGATATCTTGCATGAACGCTGTCAGCCAACTGAGGAAAAAATGGCTAATATAAAACAATATAATGTACACGTATGTATAACGTAACACAATCATGCCGATTACATCATCTTTCCTTGTCGAATATAAAAATGTAGCACGTGCATTCTGGTGAATTATTTTATTATTAACACTGTCACAGCAGGAACACATATAATTACCGTATCTCTAAAACTTGAACTAATATTGAAAAATAAGTTTCATTCCGGTTTTAGCACATTAAAAATAGTAATATTTTGTTGATTTTATTTAGGATATTTTTTGGCTGTTGATCAGTGTATTTTGAGACTTTGTTATTTCCTACACCCTAGCGAGAAAGTGTTGCAATCGCAAAGAATATTTAAAATGAGGATTTGAAAAGGATCTTGACGTTGCAGCTACACAGCAAAGACATTTAAACCAAAAACCAAAGTTGTTCTTTGTTCTGTCGATCTTTCGGAAATATTTATTTCCTTCATCAGGACGAATAAACGTAGATCTTTATATAACAATAGCTATAAATTACAATATCATTTAAAAACAAATTTACAACGTTGGCGTCTCGCAATCCAAAAAAAGACAAAAATTTATTTATCGGAAACAAAAAGAAAAAATGCCGAAAGACGTCAAAAGATTTGTCAAGGGGGACAACTTTTTAATAATAATAATAATATAATAAACGCGTCCGACTCTTCCATCAATTTGCCTGGACACTATTTATACAGAATGGATTCACCACGCACTCCTGGTTTTGGTGGAGTATGCATTTATGTTCGCACGGAAATCGCGTCGGCTTTCTCGGTATCTCCCTCTTTCAGTCCTTTCGATGGCATTGACAATCTATTTTTGGAATTGAGGTGCCCAAATTTCAGCTTCACGATAGGCTGTATATATCGGCCACGGCCCTGTTTGGGAGACACACACCTGTGCAGTCTCATTTCAGATCTCTTAAATAAAAACACCAACCTTTTCATAGCTGTTGACTTCAATCTACGTGACATTAGCTGGCCTATGTCAACCATTCCTGGATCAACTCTAACATATCGAGGATGCTTCGTCACAAGAGATCTTTGTGGCAACGGTTTAGGAGGAGTGGCCATTCACAAGATTACGTGTCTCATCGATCCTTTTCTAACCTCCTATCTAGAACGTTACATAATGCCAAACATGCTTATGAACGAAAACTCGTTACCTCCAAAAATAAGAAGAAGCTGTTTCGGTATCTAAGAACAAACCTGAATTCCAAAGTTTCATCACCTCAGATCCGCGACGCTGACGGTCATCTCCACATGGATGCCACCGAATCTGCCAACTTACTGGCAGAGTCCTTTAGTGATGACTTCGTCGATGAGCCTAATGGAGACCTTCTACCGACCACTATCTGCCATAGGTGTCCCAACAGCCTTTGCGAAGTTGAGTTCCTGCCTGAAGATGTATTAATGCACCTGCGAAATCTGAAGACCTCTTCCTCCCCTGGTAAAGATGGGATGACGGCTGCTGTACTTAAAAACTGCGCTTCAGCACTGGCCCTTCCATTAAGCTTGATATTCACCTCGTCTTTTAGATCTCATACCCTACCCTCATGCTGGCTTAGTGCTTCTGTTACCCCTGCATTCAAAAAGGGCGACAAATCCTCCGCTAAAAATTATCGACCAATAAGTCTCGTTCCTATCGCCGCCAAAACAGCTGAAAGAATCATATTAGATAAGCTCCTGCCATTTGCTTTCGAAAATGACCTTATCCCTAAGAATCAGCATGGATTCCTCCCTGGTCGATCAATAATGACCAACCTTCTCCACTCTCTCAACGATTGGACTCAGTATCTGGACACAAAGACTCCTGTTGATATAATCTATGGGAATAAGAGGCGAGTTGTTACTGTGGATTAAGGCTTTTCTCACCGGGAGGACTTTCTCTGTGCGCGTCAGTGATAGCCAGTCTCACCTTCATCATGTAGCAAGTGGAGTTCCTCAAGGCTCTGTCTTGGGGCCAGTGCTGTTCCTTCTGTATACAAGTGACCTGCCCGCATTGATTTCCTCCACATGTTCAGCTTATGCCGACGACACCAAGATTTACAATACTGTCGTAAATTCTGCTATGCTTCAACGAGAGCTTGATATTGTTTGTCAATGGTCAGTCAGTTGGCTTTTACCCTTAAATCTAACTAAGTGTTGTGTCCTTCACCTCGGGAAGACAAATCCGCGATTTACATACAAGATCTCTGACCACAACATCGAAGCAGTTTCCAGCCACACTGACCTGGGCGTTGTAGTCAACGATCGTCTTTCCTGGTCAGAGCATATTCACCACGTTACATCAAAAGCCAAGAAACTTCTATACATGCTGGAGAGGTCTTTCAAAGGATCCGATCTCAACACTTGCGCCTACATTTACAAGGCATTTGTGAGGCCAATTCTTGAATTCGCTGGCCCGGTATGGGACACTGTGCTTCTGCGCGATAGAAATCTCGTCGAATCAGTACAGCGTCGGGCTACTCGTATCCCTTTTGGAGCACGAAGACCAAGCTATGAAGATCGCCTTGAATTATTCAACCTGACCTCATTCTCTGAGCGAAGACTTCATGGCGATCTTATAGTTACGTTCAGGATACTTCATGGTTTGATGGGCACCAACCTAATGTATGTGGATTGTATGATTTAAGATAATTAGGAAGAGAATTATAATATTTAGCAATTGTAAATTTGAAGCTTCTTTCAAAAAGAACTGTCCTGGACATCTGCGCGAAATGATACCTTTTGGTAGAGACAGGGAGGGTTCTTATAATACAGTACCTTGTGAAATAAGCAGAGAGCATATAAGCGCAATCTTTTCTCCATGTTTGGCCTATTCAATTCCTTCAATTTGTGGGAGACGAGCTCATACTTTTTAATCCCGTATATGAATCGAATGCACGAGTTCTGTACACGTTGAATACGATTAACACTGTTTTGATCTAAACATGGACCAAATACAGGTGCACAGTATACAGGGTGGCGCATCGAAAACGAAACAGACGCATTTACTGGTCGGAAAAAAGTTATTTCTTGAAGAAAGATAAGGAAATATCTCGTACTTATTTTAAATAGGAATTTGGTACAT